TTTTTTTTTTTTTTTTTTTTTTTTTTTGTTAATTGAAATAATCACTTGCCATACTTGCATTGCACTATGACTTAATTATGAGTCCATGCCATTGCACTATCGCTTAAGTATGAGTCCATGCTGCTGTTTAACAGAAATACTGCGTTCCAGTCCATAAATTTGGTTTGAATAACACAGGTCTTTCGGCTACCAGTCTTACACTTGTGGAAAAATGTTATAGTATGGGACAAAAAATACTGAAATTTGTAATGATGAAAAATCAAATTAATACACACTTCTACTTGTCCTGGCAAAATTTTTGTTACACTCCTTGTTGGAATTAGATGGGTATTCGAAACAGGAATAATCTTTCCTTTGTGAGCACTTCTGTTTGACTTTCCTTTATGCTGGTTGTTGATTTATCTACCAGATGGAAGTTCAACTGAACATGATTAAGAAGGAAACACAAGAATACACTATTAGGTGTTCTGCTGAAGCTAAGAAAATGTTGGAGGAGGTCCAGTTTGCAGATCATGACCTGGACATTATGGAAAGAGAGGCAGCTGAGGTTCTCAAGGTAATTCCTTGGTCGCTATTTATTTCTTGAATAATCTATTGAATTTAAAATGCTAAATTCTTCAAGATATGGAGAATGTGTCTGTTCTCTTTGTAGTCTCAATGAATCTGGAGAGTCAAGCAAATTTCACTATCCATGTTGATAGGCCTATTTCTTTTTGGTTAAATTTTTGAATTAATTCTTATCTAATATGCCAACCGTTTCACATGTATTTTTTTTCTTTGGGTTCCTAACCATACAGTGCACAAATGAGTGTTTGTTTGCGAGTATTTTGACTGCATAATAGTGGCTGCGTTCCTTTTCTAGCTACTTATGTGTTGTGCACTTATGTTTTACTCAGTTCGTGTTCATGGTCTTCGTTTAAATGATTATGATTATGATTAAGTGGGCCAGTATGTTCTTAGCTTGCACATCACTGAATCCATTCCTTTTGAGAATAACCCTGCATATTGGGTATTCAAATAGGTAAACTGGGAAGAGAAAAGCAAACAAAGCTAATTACTGAATTACATACATAAATTTCATTTCAATTATGTAAATATGCAACGGCTAAATATATGTAGAAGTGTAGAAGTTACCAAATAAATGTAATTTGGGTGGGTATATGATGTTTGAGCTGATTCTATGGCCATTAAATCAAACTAACTACCGCCAAGCTTAGTAATAGGAAATAATCGGATGTAAAATGTGTACCTTTCTTTGCTGAATCAGTACTCCCTCTGAATCTATATATGAACATAAAGTTCATATATATTTTAGACTCAAATAAAAGCAAACTTCAACTAATTCAAGTTTATTTAAAATTTTTAATCTAAAAATACTTTTAAAATAATGAGAACACTATTTATGATAAATATAATTAAGGATATTTTAGTAAATGTAATGTATATTTTATCCGAGATTGTGAAAATTGAATACATTTAACTATTTTTTTAATGTATAAATTAGTTACTTTTTACTTATATATATATATATATATATATGTATGTATAAAGGAAGTATACTATTAAAGTTTTTGACATAAACGTGTTTTTCCTTTCTTTGGTGGCGTGTGTGGATGATAGTCATACCTCTGTCAAAATTAAACTGATTAATGTGATAATATTGTATCTAATGAGGTTCTTCGTCTCTTGTCAAGACATCTGAATTGAAGTTGCAGGAAGCGATTAAACAAAGTGAAGAAGAAATTCAAACGCGTGCTAGCGAACTGTTTCAGTTAGTTGATTCAGTGTCAAAATACAAAGAACATGTGGGGTCCAAAATTTCAAAGATGAGGCGGGATCTATCAGAAACTGCATCTGCTGTCTCAGATGCATATAAGGGTTCTCTCCCAACTCAAATTGATGTTCATAGTCCACGTTTATAATGTATTTGTCAACTCCAGCAACGTGTCATTTTGGGTTGCCATATCTTCCTTCCCGTGGTATTTACGTTTTTGCTGTACAAATGACGGTCATTTTGAATAGATGTTATTACCAATTTACAAAATCACGGACTTTATACCTTAACATAATCAATGCAACGTCCCAACCTAAAAAAAACTATTTAGCAAAGCATTATCCTAACTTGTGGAGATTGAAATACTGATATGAATAATGAGAGATTGGTTCTATATATTTTTCGTTAATGTTACGTTGTGTACGTGCCACGTGCCTTTTGATGTAAAATCATTAATGTTCGAATACTATTTTAAACAGCCAATAAATCTAGCTCGAAGTTGGATAACACCGTTAAAGTATCAAACTTGAGTTTTTTTGAATTAGTTGTATTCACGTTAACTATTAAAGCTATCATTCTAATAATTTGACTTAGTTCAAACCTATTTTTCAATTTAATGTATTAGATATGTTATATTTAAAAATGAGTTTCGACTATATTTTAGGTATCTTAGTATTGTTTAATACATTTTTTAAAAATTTAACTTAATATATAATATTTTATATGATTTGATATATTTATGTTATGATATTTATTATAAAATTGTTTTAATTCTAATGGTATACTTTAATTTTATGGTTTAATATATATGTGTGTGTTGTGTGTATTTTAAAATTGATATATTATATTAGAATTAGGGTTGATCTTACTTAAAGGGAAAAGACTAATGTCTACTAAGTATCCGTCCAAATAGGTGGTTAATTATATATATAAATATTGATCAAATAGTAAATAAATATAATTATATATAATTATCGATTAATAATGGAATGAGTCTATCGAAAATTTCAACCGTATTTAACATTGTTTAATTTAATAATATTACAGTTATTGATGATCACATGTAGTTAATTATATTCGTAAATACAATTAAATTTTGTCTCTAAAGTAGTTGCAAATTATTTTAAATTTCATTATATCAATTGTTGATTCGTAGTTAATTGTGTTATGATGCAATAATGATAATTAACTTTGCATCTCATGTTAAAAGTATAAAGAGGCAATCAAAATATTTAGTATTATCTATGTTATATATAAAAAATATATACATAAATTACAAATAATTAAATTAGTTAGTGATAATTAATAATGTCATAATTTAAAATTTTATTCCAAAGATACTCATAAAAATAAATATTATTTGTTGTTATATTTAATAACACTACTCAAGCTAAATTATAGTTTTAATTGTACAATAAACATATACACTTTCATAAAAAAAATAAAAAAATAGACAACTCATTAATAAATTGAAAATAAATTAAGAGTATAAAAAATAATAAATTAATATATTTAAAAAATAGTCTGATAATTTTTATAATTAGGACCAAAATAAGATACTCATTTATTTCTTTAAATATAGAATGATAGGTGGTAATAATTTAGGGTTTACTAATTGTTAAACAAATTTAATTTAGGCAGTAATAATTTACTAATTGTTAAATAATTAGTAAATTATTATATATAGGAAGATAGGCAGTAATAATTTACTTATTGTTAAACAAAATTAACAATATTTAATAATGTGCGTTGGGACACACTACACAATTAATAAACATTACTTTTTAACAAAAACATGAAAGTTCACCGTTGGTCTAGATGAAGAGATAGCCCAAAAAACCAAACCAATAAAGACTGCATCGTTTGTTAGTACCTACTTTCCCTTTCTTTGGCTAAACTATATCAAGTATCAACTACCAATCGTTACTCTAACTCTGGTATACATCTGCAAAACTACTGAACTTTTCCTGTATAATATTGGGATTTACAAATGCATGGTCCAATAACTTAGCAGCAGTTGGCCGATTGATTGGATCAACTTGTAAGCATTTAAGAATGAAATCTCGGGCATTTAGAGATAAAGATTCTGGAACAGTTGGAGTTTGACCCCTGCCAATCCTAAATAGCGCAAGCATCTGTTATAACAAATAAAATGAAGTATTTAAATCAGTTATATAATTTCAAAGGAAAGTACAGTCTCTTTTAATTGTCTATGAGGTGAGAAAGCAAGTAAACTAAAATCCTGAATTTAAATGTATGAGATAATGTAAAGGAGTGGACAAGAAATGATAATGGGAAAATTTCAGTCTCTGTAATAAATGAATCTAGGAAAGCAAGGAAAGTATAAAAATGAAGGTAAAGATTATAGTAAAAAAAATGCCGGACATACTGCTTCCAAATGAGAGTAAGGAAGTTGCCCTGTCATCATCTCTAAAACTGTGCATCCTAAGCTCCATATATCAGATTCTGGTCCATATCCAGGGTTCCTCCAGTCAAAAACCTATGATCCAACAATTCAAAATTAATCTAGGCACATTATAAAATTCCAAATGATTGAGAATTATGTCCTTGAAGCGAGAACATTTGGTATATGTGCTATACTGAATTGAACAGCCATATGAATCATCATATTCTAGTTCATCCAATGAAAGGAATTATGTCAAACATATGGGACAGGTAGAGACACGAACCTCAGGGGCCATCCAGTACGGGGAGCCTTTACTTGATTTAACATCATTCAACTTGGTTGCCTGCAAAGGAAGAAGAACCAACAATATAATTGCATGAGGTTAGCATTTGGAATTGGCTATGATAAGATGCTGACTTGTGAAAGTTGATTTTGCTAAAGGAAAGTACCTTTGCCAATCCAAAATCTGCAAGCTTGACGGATCCATTCGCATCAACTAATATATTAGCACACTTGAGGTCCCTTAAAATTTTAAAATTTTTGGCAAATTAATTTAGAATGTACAAGGTCCGTGTAAATTCAAAATATTTCAGCCATCAATTTCCAACCACCGCATCCAACTTCAACTATTAAGTGATTTCCGCAATCATAGAAAGTGGATATCAATTTAAAATAGAATATTCAGGATACAAAAGAAGAAATCAAATTCCAAAATGGACTTTATCTTTAGCAATGATTAGAGAACATTGGGGTTTCATTTTTCTTATCCCTTTTACATTAACCGAGCCTGCAAACTTCCTTATGTAAAAACACTGCTATGATTAATAATAGGTATAACCGTTGGATTGCATCAAGATAGAAAGTTCATTCATGTTACCTGTGAACCACATTCCGATCATGAAGATACTTCAAACCACTCAAAATCTGCCTTGTGTATGCAGAAACCTGAGAGTCCCTTAAACGATACTTTTGATAGAGACTTGCCAATGATCCTTTTGTTACAAGCTCGAGGAAGATATACAGCTTATCATTATCCTGAGAAATAATGAGATTTAAATACAATTAACAATAAAGTGGAGAGGAGAAAACAGTTGAAATGAAATTACTCCCAAGTGCTAAGTAACATAATCAGACGAAAAATAATTCAGAGAGAACCAACTAAACAATGAGACAAGTGATGTCCAGAAGAAAGGACAAGAAAAGTCATCATGCATCAAATAGTCAGTCAATCCTCATCGGATTTCAAAAGGAATTCATTTCATATTATATAGTCAATGAACATTCTGTTATACCATTTAAGCATTTGAAAAATTTACAGGAATAGTATTGGGACTGTAAAACTGCAGAGAATGTCTTTCATACTTGCTATTTGCTGTTAAGTATGTAGAACTTAGTAAGAAGGAAAAAATCTTTGCAGTCCACAAGGAAAAAATCATGGGCAACTTTAATGCGCATATAAACCAAGAAATAGATAACTCATACAACTTCAAGGGTCTCAAAACAAAAACATTTTA